TGGCTTAGATCGCCAGCAGGCGAACTAGTCGGGAACCTTCTAGTTCGCCTGCTGGCGATCTAAGCCAGCTCGGCTTAGTTCGCCAGCAGGCGAACTAGTCGTGACTAGTTCGCGTTCTGCGGCGGTTTCGGTTTTTCGCGGTTTTGCAAAACGAGTTCTCGAGTTTTATAAAACGATCTTCGAGTTTTATAAAATGATTCTCGAGATTCATAAAACTGTTGCGTTTACGCGTTTGCGGGGAATTTTGGCTATTGATTCCGTCGTACCGATTTTGACCCCAACAACCTCTCAAAAATAAATGTTAATTATCTGTTCCCCTTTATGTGTAGCTGTGTCGGAACTCAGTTAACAGTTTTTGTGTGTGTGAAATAACCGAATACATATCTATTGAACACAAGAACCATATTAAGTATATCTATGTCCGTTTTTTTTATGATGAGATAGATTAAAATAGATCACCACTCATAAGAACATCACAAGAAGCATATTAAGTATATCTTTGTCTTTTGTTTTCATTTGATCATTCTTATGGTTTAATCATTTATTTTTGGGAATTATGTTAATATAGAACAAAAAACAGTCTTCATGTCCCATTAGTATAAATTACATTTTATCCATTTTTTCTCCCTTTTACCCTTTCTATTTACAAAAATTAATAAAATAAATAGTTCTATGATTCGAAAAATATATAAAAATACACAGAAGTGATGAAATACCTATATACACAAAGTGATATATTTAATATTTTCAAAAGCTTGTTAAATTAAAAATTTTAATTACGTTCTACGTAGTAGAACTCATATTCCTCGTTAAACAGTAAACTCTACAAGTTTAGGAAGTTATATTCTACGTTTGTATAGGACTCTACATATTTTAGAATCTATATTCTACGTTTATATAGAATTCTACAGAATAACTGAATGCGGGTTCTACATTTTAAGCCACTTCTACATATCTCAGAATACGTGGACGTTAGTAATTCTACTTTCTGTAGAAGGTATCTTCTACGAATAAGATTAAACAAAAATCCAAAATTTTGGGAAGAATTATCTGGGATCGGGATCGATCGATCTAAAATAGAGATCGACCGATCTATGATAGATCGATCGGTGAAGATCGACTGAACTGGACAAGGTCGATCAGAGTCTGCTCTGTGCTTTTTTATGTTTTTGTTTAATCATCGAGATCGACCGTTGGGATCGACCGACTCTTTATGGGATCGATCGATCCCGTCATTCGAAAGATGTACTCTAACTTATGAAGATCATTACTCAATTTGGGTGGGTTTATATGGATGTCCATAGACTAATGTTTGGGATCGATCGATCTAAATAGAGATCGATCGATCGATCTATGATAGATCAATCGGTGAAGATCGACTGAACTGGACAAGGTCGATCAGTTTCAGCTCCGTGCTTTTTTATGTTTTTGTTTAATCATCGAGATCGACCGTTGGGATCGACCGACTCTTTCTGGGATCGATCGATCCTGTCATTCGAAAGATATACTCTAACTTACGAAGATCATTACTCAGTTTGGGTGTGTTTATATGGATTTGCATAGACTAATGAACTGGACATATCCAGTTCCAGATGAAAAGAAGCAGCATCAAAAAGTTCAAAGAAATTCTTTTTTCGCTGCTTGTCTTTGAAAAGAACCAACAACAAATTCCAACTATTTTTGAACGAAAAGTACAATCATGAAGCGTATTCAAAGGCTTGTGGAGGTTGTGGCTCGTCATCTACAGCCATAACTGAGGCTGTTGTTCCTTGAGTAGCCACCGCTGCACCAGTTGCAGGAGAAGCTGTTGAAGTTGTTGGTACATCGGTCAGAGAGAGAACCTCTGGCTCGTGTTCACGAAATTCCTTGAGAAGAACAAAACCTGATGGAGCTAGCTTCACTGGCACGTATCTGCTATCTTCAAGTAGCTTAATGTACTTCTCTTGAGCCGGGACTACTTGAGCTGGGTTTACTAGAATCTCAAACGCAGTCTCTTGCTCTACAGCAATCTTATAGTAACGTTCCTACCACCTGCATCGAGGATACCAGAGCCAGTTTCACTACAAGATGAGCTGCAGCATCTGATTTTCTTGTGTTGCGGTATGTGGAACTTGGGATCTTGTGGCGCAGTTGGAGGTTTGTTCGCCCTGATGAATGGTAAAAAAAAAAGGAAAACAACAATAAGCAAACCACTGTTTCAGCTTATATTTCAAACAAGAAGTCTCTCTCTACTATTGTCCGTAAAGAGAACTATCTGAGTGGAGCGTCAAGTCAACGGGTATTGTAACACCTTTCACAAGAGGCTTAACCAGACACTGCAACAGAAAAACAACTTTAGAATGCTAGCTTCATACGTAACAAGATATTGTACAATCATATTCAATTACACAATTTTAAATTTGGATTCTCTAGGAGCAGAACGGTTCTAACTTCTAGTTGGCCTCGCAAACACTGCAATTACCACGTTACTGGTTCTCACTAGAGCTTGCAAGATCATACTGGATGTTAATAGGAAAGCAGAAGCACGCTTACCTCAGGTTCATCAGTTGTCCATGGAAGACCTTGAGCAATGGGTATCCTCATCTTTTCTTCTACCATCGTTATCTCTTGGAGCTTCTTTGTAAACTCTTCCTCTTTCACCTTACCTCTTTGCTGCAGAGAAACAAAAGACCAACCCACAGTTAAGACTCAATTTCTACAATGAATCCGGGAACTTGAAATATTTTCTGATCTAAAGAAGCTCATACCTCAGTTCTAAGTTTGAACGGCTTCAATGAAGTGACCTTAACCTGCTTCTTCTTTGACTTTCTGCTTCCCATTGTAGTTGATGAGTCCAAGCTCTGCCACACACAACAATATCAAACTTGTGTCAGTTATCACTATCCCGAAGCTTTATAGGCATACATTATGTCATATTATGATTAAACAACCAATAATAATACACATATATTTCTTCTGTTTCTCCTGCCAGCATTTGACATCCCACTCAAAACACTGTAACATCACATCAACCAATTCAGAACGTGACAAGATAATAAAACTAACAGAGACTACTAAGTCAACAACCAAACCAACCTGCCATGGTTGTTGTCCCAAGACGACGAGACAGAGGCATTGGGATCCAACCCAAGATTCTCAGAAGTCAAAACCAATCCATCCGGACAAAATTCAAAACTTCATGTCTGCTCTGTCTCTCTCTCCCCTTCCCACAACTTACATTGCTATCTCACCCCACACAGCTCTACCTTCCCAACGGTTTGCTCCTCTTCATCCTTGTTAGTACTAAAGCACTTGAGTTTCTCAAACGCTTCAACAAGATTCATCACTTTACCAGATTCAGGCACACTCCTCCGTGACTCTTCCACTACCTTCCCCCTTGTCCTCTTCAAAGCGCCTATCATCTCCGGTTCAACGGATTCTTCTATTTCCACCTCATCTCCGATATTATTATTACACCATTCTTTCTCCTGGAATTTTTTTCGTTTTTTGAGAAACTCCTCTTGAGAAGCACGAAGCGTCTCGTACGCAACGCAAACGCACTTCATATTCCTTTTCTTCCTCTCTCCGCATTTACAGTCTATCGGATCTTTCTTCTCCTTCTTTGAGTTCTTCTTTGTCACCACGACGAACCTCCTCTCTCTGATCCGACTCCGTGGAGAGAAAACCGCCTGAGTCGGTTTAGGATTTGGATTAGGATCGGATTCGGACTCTGGTTCGGATTCTTCTTCGCCAATCTCTTAGTGGATTTCACGGGCGGGGACTTAGCTGGAAAAAATCGATTAAAACAGAAATTAGGTTTAGCTGGAAAAAATCGATTAAAACAGAAATTAGGTTTTACGGGAAAAAAAGAAGGGGATTTTGTTCCTTTTTATTATTCTTTTTATTTTTTTAATTGATTCCTTTATTTTGATTATAAATTGTGTTTAATTATAATTAGTATAGGGTTAGTTTTGGGATTATAGAAACAATTATACTATAAGGACAAGATTGGTGTTGGTTTATACTAAGGGGACAAGAGGTCTATTTCTCTGTTCTATATTAGCATAATTCCCTTTATTTTTTGATTATGTGTGCTAAAATTAAGATTTGTTACTATATTGAGAAAATTGATCAAATATGAATTTATTATAATTGTGGTTTTAATATTTATGTAAAGCTATTAAACTTATCGTCTTATTAGTGTATAAAATGTATAATTTGGTTATGTACGCAAAAAGATATAAATATTTATATATAGGTATTAAAATTTATGATCTAGTCATTTGGGTACCCGTGAGTGAACCTATACCCTACTGGGTTATTTTGTGGGATTTAATTTAACCATGATGTTTATGGGTTTTTTGTGGGTTGGATATAAACTGGGCCGGGGTTTTTGTGGGTTGGGCTGGGTAAATTTACCCAAGTTAACATCCCTAATGGGGGGCTACAATGTTGGTGTAAGAACCCTAATCTTAGCCACCTGGATCTAGTCTCTCAATCTCTAAGTGTCTATCCTTTATTCTAGGGTTTGGGTTCCCCTTATATAGATGTAGATGTCGGCTTGTATTAGGTTATACTCTTCCATATTGGCGAATATGGGAGAGTTTCCTTAGATGGAGAACTTCCATTTTACTCAGGGGTCGGTTTTGGAGCTGGGGCCGGGCCCGGGTAACCTGAATGCAAGGTCTGGGCCCTAGGTCCCTTCGGAGCAGAGGTCTAGAGGCCGGTGCCCAGCCCGGGGGCTGGAGGAATCTGGTGCCTGGATATTTTTTCCCAACAGTTTGCCCCTTATTCCTTGATTTCACTGATGGAACCAAGGGATAAAGTGTGTATAGGAGGACCAGAGTCGCTTTATCTCAGCCGATTCCCCTTAAGTAAGGCATCGCTCTAGACACTTTATTCTCCAGGTCCGTGTTTAGGTTGGAACCGTGTTTGGAGCCTGGAGTAAGTCGGGCTTCCGTTGGTGAAATGGAGTTCCGTAGGTATTTTCAGGGCCTGAGCCTCTTGGAGCCGGTCGAGTAGGGCCGTGGCCTGTTATGCTTTTTGGACAAGGGACGAGGAAACCCTAGCCGCTTGCGCTGATTCGATGACATCTTGTTTGTTCGCCGCTATTTCCTCTTCGGTTGGAGTGAAAAAATAGGAAACTTCTTATTCTGAGAGATGTTACCCGAGATCCTTTCTTCCAGCCTTGAGAGGATGAACAATCAAGTCAATTGTGAGAACCGAAATTCACACCGTCGATTTCCATACAATAAGGAAACTTAGGAAAACCCTAATTTTCTAGAGGACCCGGATCTCTGTGGAAGCCAACGACAAATAACTGTGGGAGTCGATTTCACCCTACTGTCAAATAAATCGTAAATAAGGAAACTTCGGGAAAAACCCTAAGTTTCCAGAGGAACCGGCTATCTGCGAGAACCGCACAACGAAAATAAGAAAACGATAACTTAGAATTAAAATTAGAATAAACGAAAATTGAGAGCAAAGAGGTTCTTATTCCGAATCTGCGTTGAACTGGTTACAAAAAGAGTAGCCGAAAACGTAAGAACCTAAAAAACCCTAATTGAGACGCAGCTCGCTAACAGAAAAACGGAAAGATTCCTAAATGCTAATTTTGGTGGTGAGAGCTCTGAATTTCGTGTGTCTGCTTCTGCCCTAGACCTCCTCTTTATATACTCCTCATCTTGGCTATCCGATCTTTCCATTTCGCCCAGATTTGGCTTAAATCGGGAACTTTCCATTCTTCTCGATC